CGATGATCTGACTTTTGAACTGCACAAACTCAATGTACGTCTGACTGCGCGTGCTCACCAGAAAGTGACACTCGGGGAAGAAGCGGGCGTGCTCCTCCAGCGGCACCTCACCGGGGGCCCAGTTCTTGAGGACGCCGCCGCAGTGGTAGCACCGGACGCTGTCTTCGCAGCCTGGAGTTTGCAAGAGTTCAAAAGTTTAGAGGTTTAGGCAAAAATGGTGAGAATGTGAAAGAGGAAAAGAGAGAGAGAGAGAAGTGAAGAAAAAAGTAAAAGTTAAGAAAGGTGTTGAGAGTTGGTGAGTTAATTTGAATGAGAGAATACACTTACGAGTGTAGAAGAAGCCCGCATCGACGAGGTCCTCCACGCTGACGGCGGTGCTCTTCCAGTTCGGACTGAGGAAGGTCTGACTGCGGCTCAGCGGATCGGCCAGTCGCGGAAAGTCGGGCAGATTGGACTTGCTGTACAGCTTCTTGCCGGGCGGGGCAGAGTCGGCGGCCATGGCTGCCTGGCAGTGCGTCCTGTTGCTGCTGCTGCTGGGCGTGCTGTTGATGTCCGGGTCAATCTCGAAGGGCATGTTGCCGCAGTACTCGCCGCGAATGAAGGCACAGTTGGGGAAGAGGCGCTGGTGGGCCTCCATTGCAACGTCGCCTGTAGAAAAGAAAAGATAAACAATAGAAGTTAGAGTATTAGGATATAACAGAAGATGAAATGCTTGAAACACACTTACCATGCTGCCAATTGCTGACCACGCCTCGACAGAAGGCGCACTTGACCGCGTCCTCGTTCATGTAGAAGAAGCCCGCCTTGGCGAGCTCCGTCGGCGAGATTACCTCCATCTTCGGCCACTGGTGCCCGTAGAGGAGGTAGGTGATCAGTCGCAGGCGCTCGTACTTCATCATCTTGAAGAAGTTCTTCACGGAGAAGGCGCCCGTCGTGCCGCTCAGGTTGCGGCGATTGGCGGAGGAGGTGGTGGTCCGCGTGGCGGTGGTCGCCTTTAGGGAGGCTGGATTCATCGTCGAGTACCCGGTAACTGAGTCACTTTCGGCAGCAGCTGGCGATGAGGTGGAGTGCAGCGACAGGGCTCTTGGCGGCTGCGGTGTGACAGCCGCTTTTGTAGTGGCCATTTAAATCCGGGTAAAAGCGAGACGATGAAAAGGCTGCACAAAAGTGTTTACTTTACTTGGCAGCGTCTGACCACTTCTGGGGATAGTGCTCCAGCGTGTGTGTGTGCTTTCCGTCAACTCTTCTCTTCCCTTCCTCGGTCAGGAATCTCTCTGCTTCCACTTTTACTGGTTTCCTTCTGGAGAAAGGGTAGTTACAGGCAATTTCGCAGGGTGCAGTGAGCTACGGTAGTTTCTGTTTTACAGAGCAGAGCAGGACAGACAAACAAAAGTGAGCAGGGAAAAGGGATCGGTCGCTGTGGGTGCTTTTGTTGCTGCTGCCTGTGCTGCCAATGCAGTTGCTGGTGGTGACTAGAAGAGGACTGAAGCTGGTGATGATGACTGTTTTGGAGTGTGTGAGAAAGAGGGAGAGAAGGAGAGGCTGCAATCGGTGATAATCGATGCTGTGCTTTTAAAAAAAACTGTGCCAATGCTGATATCTGGTAGAGAGGGATAGCAGATCAGGGTGGTTGATCAGAGCAGCAATCAATTTTGGCTATTGTTGCTGGGTGCTGATAGTGCCGCTGCTGCTGCTGATGATGATGTTGTTGTTGTTAGGTTTGGATGGCTCTTCTTTGCGTCACCTCACTTGACAGTAGACAGTGGGGACACAATGCAAAAGTACACTGAGTGGTCAGTCTGCTGTGTACGTGATACAGAAAAGGTACTCGGAAACGGCAACAACAGCCGCAATAGTGCTCAGCAGGAGAGAAGGTGGCGGACAACAGGAAAAAGTGTGTAGATGGAAAAGTGGCAGAAATTGAGATTGATCTGAGCTGGCGAGATTATCAAAACTAAATGCCGTGGGTACTGTGGGGGCTGGTGTTCAATTTAAGGGTACAGCTTTGCAATATGGCCACAAGAAGGTGGTACTCAACGGAAATAGCGATTGCGGTGATGATAAAAGGGAGAAAGCTTGAACTGGGAAAAGCATCAAACAAGAAGGACAGGTTTTCAGCAAATTGAATCGGTTTGATGAATCTGATGCTTGAAGACGTTCAAAATGTTATTAGGTAATTGTCAGCACAGGTAAAAGATGTCCACAAACATCCAAAACAAAATCAAAACACACTGCACAAGACACTGGAATGTGCTGCGCGAATTCGCTTGCTGCTCTTGCTGCTGTTACTTCTTCTTCTGCCAACTGTGCTGAGCACAGTTCGAAAAAACAGAGGGAGCGAGGAAGTGTGCAACTCACAGGCGAACAAAGGCACTCGTCTGCGCAGCCGTTGCTTTTCGAGCCAGTATCAATCGCCGTCGTCGTCGTCGTTGCCACTGCGTAGGCCACCTCCTGTCGCAGGCTTTCACAGGCATTGGCGCACTTTCCACCGGTTTGTGCTCAATAAGTGTGTGCCTGTGTGTGTGTCGCAAGCAGCGGGCAATGTGAAGCAATAAAAGTAGTGGTGGTGGTAGTGGTAGTGGCGAGACTACACTGGAGTGCGCTGGTAGAGACTGCCCGAAACGACGGCGGCGGCGGTGGCAGCTGCAGCCTTGAGGAGCGAAGAGAGAAGAGAGCTGTGGCAGTGCTCGTTGATTTATGTCTTTCTCTTCTCATCCCGTCGGCGCGCCCTAAAACTTTGCGCTCAACCGATAAGTTCAGAGAAAGAGAGAAAGAGAGAGAGAGAGGGAGACACGGCAGATGCAGGGCCACTGCTGAAGCTTGTTCAGTATATTTCAATATTCAGCGACTTGTGACTCACTGCACTGAGTGATACACTCGTATGTTGGAAATTTTTTCTATCATGTGTGCGCCTAATTACTAATCATGGCATTTCAGCGACAAAAATAGGGGGAAAGGGAAAACTGGTTTGACTAGTTCGCTTAGCTTTTCTTTCGTTTGAAACTCATTGCAGTCACATTGCAAATGGACATTCTCAGGCAGGCCATCTCGTAGCAGTGTTTTTAATTCCCTTCCTTTCCTTTCCCTTTTCCCTTTTACATTTCTTCTCAGTTAAGGCACCTTTCGAACAAAAAGTGATAAATAAAAGTGCCAGTTCACTGTATTTTTAATTTTGAAAAAAAATTGTTTTTAACAAACAGTGGCGGCTGCTGGTGGTGGTGCTAATAGTATAAATAAAGCATTTTTTGATAAATGTTAAAGTGCATTATAAATAGATGTCATTGTTGCTGATGCCTTAAGGTGAGAGTGAGTCAAATATTCTATTTTATTGGCTCTTGTATAATTCTTATAAAATCTTTCCATTTTTTTTAAATTTTATAACTCAACTTCTAGACAACCTCAAATTTAGTTTGAAATCTCAAATTAAAGTTAAAGAGTTTGTCCAGAGTCCTATTGGAGTTTTTTATTTTATTTGTTTTAATTTAGTTTTTATTACCGTTTTAAGTTGGTAAAACTGCTATTTTGTGATTTTTCCAACTTCAAATATTTATAAAAACTTAACAAAAGCAAATAAAATTAAAAACCATAATAAGACTTTGGACAAACTCTTTAACTTTAATTTGAGATTTCAACCTAAATTCCGGGTACTCTAGAAGTTGAGTTATAAGATTTTAAAAAATTAAAAATTTTTATAAAAATTATACGAGAGCTAATAAAATAGAAAATTCGACTCACTCTCGCCTAAACTGACAATTTTGTTTTAAAAGTGAAGTATTAACACTTAAATGTAAAAAAGTCGTATGTTAGTTTGCTGCTTTTGTTAATTTTTAGCTGTCATATGCTAACTAATTTAGTGTTTAGTCATTCAATGATGACTAGTCAAAAAGGTCAAACAATAAATTGATGAGGCGTTAATTGATGAGAAAACTGACTATGACTGTTTTATAATACTGTACTTGTTGGTGTTTTTTGTGGTTGAAACATCTTTTGACCGATACCCTCAAAAACTGGCATATTAAAGTGCAGTAAGTTTGACAAATCAAGCAATACGTAGCAACAAACAAACGGAATAATGATTTAGCAATTAGAAAGTACAATTGCAATGACAGTTGGCATTAGTAGTGTTGGGGAAATTACATTTTTGCCAAGCATTAAATTGTGCATTTATTACTACTTATTAAGCTTCTATTACGCAAGTAAAAACAAGAGCGGTAATCCTGTTTTATAGTTGGCTAGTAAAATAACTAAAAAGTTTTAAAATTATTACATATCAGCCTATCCCTGATACTAATTTAAATTTTTAAAACAAAAACTAATTTATGAACTTTTATTGTTTACAAATATTTAAAATGTTTTTAATTTTAAATAATTTTTAACATTTATTAAAGTTAGATAAATTAGGCACAGGGTTTGTACTAATTTGAAAGTGTTTAAATGTTATAATACTTATAAACTGGTCAAATACCAGCATTTGAGATTAAATTAAAAACAATTCAATGAAAAATTATAAACAAAGTTTATAAAAAATAAAAAAATTGGAAATAACTGAAGTTTTTGAGAATGTGTTTATCAGGGTGTTTTCTAAACATGGTTAAAATAACAATAAGGAATTCGTGTAAAAAACTGATGTTTAAATTAAAAGAAATCTGACAAAACTTAATGTCTAAACATTTGATCTTATATGTGCTGATAGTGTTTTTTAGTTTTAAGCTTATTTTAAAAAAACCGCGTGTTTGTTCATTGTTGGCTGCATCTTCACAATAAATAATTATCAGTAAAATTTGTAATTTGTGGTCCTCAGTGTTCTCCCTTTTCTTCTTTTTGCTGTTGTACTTGTGATGTTTAACATTTAACACACACACACACACACACTCATGATGAAAAAATTAATCTACGGCAACTCAAGAAGTTCGTGCTCCTCANTTTTCTTCTTTTTGCTGTTGTACTTGTGATGTTTAACATTTAACACACACTCACACACTCATGATGAAAAAATTAATCTACGGCAACTCAAGAAGTTCGTGCTCCTCATAAAGCTTATGCGTCGCTCCAAAGACCTGGTCGGCGATGTTGGCCAGCTCCGACATGGCCTCATTCACCTCGCCGGCGCCGCCCTCCGGCAAGGCTCCCCCGTAGACGTTGGAGATGAGCACCCGGCGGTAGGGCAGCGCCAGCGTCGCCAGGTTCACCGTCTTGCGGATCATCCACGGGTGGAAGCGGGCCAGCGTCCGTCCGTAGGCCGCCCTCGCCGAGCCGCCGGTGCTCGTCTGGTCGTCGATTTTGGTCACCTCGTGGAGGAAGGCGGAGATGAACTCCAGCGCCCGGTGGAGGCGCAACAGGGTGCGGGCGCCCGAGGGCCGCCGTCCGGTCTTGTCGATCAGCAGACTCTCCCCCTTCTCGTACTCGATCATCGACTGGACGGTGACGTAGCGGTGGCCGACTGTCTCGTCGGCGTGGTACGCCTCCAGGATGCCGATCTTGTCGCGGACGTCCTTCGCCACGAAGCCGAACAGTGTGCCGAACATGTTGAAGAACCTTAGGTGGAAGGAAAGAAGGTGAAAAGAGGGGGGGGGAAACTATTAGAAACTGTTTTTTAAGTGGTTAGAAGTTTTTTACTTGTTGAGCTCTGTGAACCCCTGCAGGTAGAGCAGCGTGTCAATGGCCGCCTTGTCGGAGATGGAACGTAGAAAGCGATCACAGACGAGGTTGATGTCGAAGGGTGAGTTTGAAGAGGAGGAAACAACCATCAGGGTAGGCGAGGGTTTTGGAAAGTGGGGCGTAATTGGCGTGGTGGGCGTGTTCACAAAGTCTGCCGTCGCCGCCAGAGCGGCCATTATCTCCCCCTCATCTTGGACGTTTGGCGTTGATGGGGGCTCGCCCACCTGCTCCTCGCCAACTTTGCTGTTGTTGTTGCTGCTGCTATTGTTATTGTTATTGTTGTTGCGATTTTGTTGTGTTTGAGCATTTCCAGACATGGTGGTTGTGTGTGTGTGTGTGTGTGTGTGTGTGTTTAGTTGAGTAAATTGGACAAAGTGATAAGGTACAAAGGAGTGAAAGCGAAGGAAAGGGTAGAAAAAAGGTAAAGATCTTGAGATAGTAGTGGTGTTGGTGGTAGTGGTAATCGTGATGATTAAAATGACCAGAAAAGTGGAAAAAGTGATCAACTGGAGAAAGGTTTTATGT